TCTCTCTCTCTCTCTCTCATTTTCCTTCTTGTTTTCAAAGAAGACTGTCTCCTGAAGCTATTTGTGGCATTACTGAGCAAAGGACTGTGTGATATGGTTCAAATCAGTATGGTGATATTAATAAGAACATTGTCTAATAGTTTGTTGATGTACAGACGGGTGACCAATTGACTGACTGGTGTGATCAGAGAGAAAATTATGGTTGGTATTTACGGTCACAAGATCTTAACCGAATTAAACACTTCTAGGGGATTTTGGAAGTGTTAGATTGACTTACCAATCAGCATCAGGGACAACCTTTTGAAAGAATAGTGTTCATCCCTCCAGTAATAACTTCTAAGCAGCACTGAAACTTTTCTAAGACACAGTTTGTCTCCCATCTGCATATCAAAATACTTCAAATGTATTAAAAATATATGAAATAATCTAAAAGATCAGCTTGCAGTAACTTGTGAGGCAAAAATCTTGACGGTGTAAATAAAATCACCAGTAACTAAATGTACGTTATTAATTCCAGCTTATTTTGAATAATTGATTTTTGACATAATAACTATATCAACTACATCAAAGTACACTTTTATAAAGTATTTCTGATAAATTACTGAATGGCAGCATAAACACAGGTTTCACAGATGTTTTATACTAGGACAAAAGAAGAATCTTTTAGCCTCTTAAACACCACAGGATCAATTTAAGTTAGTTTTAAATGTCATTTAAACTATGTTCAAACTCTTTGTTCACTTATTTGTTCAACTTGTTTGTTGAAACTTTACATTTCAAATTCTAGTGGAGATTCCAAAGTTTCTAATGACAGCAAATATGTATTTATAATAACTGAATTTGGGGAAATATGTAAAAAATCTAGAATATTTTAATTAAAAGGAAAAGGGCAGCCATAAGAATCTTGGGGACATTGTTTTATATTCATTAAGAGGATGATTACCTGTCTGTCACTGATGATGCCAGCGAGACGTTTTAATAAACTTGACGTCTCTAAAAGTTTTCTGTGTGTGTTTCTGTGTGTGTCCTCCGTAGGCAGGGGCATCGTCCATGTGGGCGTCATGCTGTGGGCTGCTGAACGAGGTGATGGGCACGGGCACAGTGCGGGCACAGCAGCCGGGGTTCGGAGCAGGGGCAGGGCCCTTCCGCTTTGCCCCCAGTGCTGGGTACTCCACCTACCCCCCCACCAGCTCAGGGAGTGCTGGACAGCTGTGCAAGGCCTGCGGACTGGCCTTCTCTGTCTTCAGACGCAAGGTGAACTAGGGTACAAGATGATGGAACCTGGTTCATACAGGAATATGTGATGGTGGTTAGAGACAATAAGAGAGATTTATCTGAATTTTGAGGTCATCTCAAAAGACCATATCAGTGGGTTTTGTATGTTTTAGCCCATTTAATACAAATCTTATTCACTCTACATTACACGATTGACAACCAGCGGCTTGATTTAACTTCATGTCTGTAAAAAATCATTTTGCAGAGACTGGAGACTTAATCCTTCGGTCAACATTTAGTCAGCGTTTTTTTATTTATATATATCTGAATTATGTAATCATTGCGTGCAGTTGCGAGCAGGGACTCTGTGGTGCATTCAAGGAAACACTGACATCCATAATTACTGAGTCACTTGCTGAACAGAAACTATTTTAATGAGAAAAACCTCCAAAATAATATTGATTTGGTTCACAGGGAAATGCACATGGAAGTATAAATATATTATTATATCTTATACATCATTTAGTTTTTTTAGTCATTTATTTAATCATAAGCATTTTGTAGTACATTGCAAGTACATTTTGTTGATATACTTCTGTACTTTTATTTAAGCAGGATTTTGAAGAAAGGATATACATGTTATGGAGTATTTTTACAGTCTTGTTTTGCTACTTTTATTCAAAAAACTCAGTGTGTGTATTTATATTGACGGAGAAATATCTGCAAATTCTGTTCTTTTTCCGGCACTTACAGTGATGTAGGCATCAAGGAAGAACTACAGGCTCAATAGACCTACGTGTGAAAAATAAATGGTCAAACTGCAGGAAATCATTTGCTTGGCAACGTGACTTTGATTAGCACCCAGCAGCTAATTTAGCTTGTGGTAATTTAGCTTGAGCCTGGTGGCTCCCCATGCACCAGAGCTAAGTCCTTGCTACAGAGGCCATGGGTTCGACTTTGCTGCATGTCGTCCTCACTCTCTCTCCACCCTTTTCCTGGCTCTCTACAAGAAGGAGAATTCAGTATAGCATGCACTGAGGAATTTATTGCTTCAATTGACTACATTTACTATCAATACTGATTGGACAATCACATCAAACAAGGTTTTCCTTCAAAGGTCTAGTGTATAACATTAAGGAGGATCTATTGGCAGAAATGCAATGTAACATTCATAGGTATGTTTTCATTAGTGTATAATCACCTGAAAATAAAAATTGTTGTGTTTTCCTCTTCCATGGAGTCTGCCATGTTGAACTGCCATATTTCTAAAGTAGCCCAGAACAGACAAACACTGGCTCTAGATAGGGCCTCTCACATTTTTCTGTGGCCACTGTGATTTCTTCTACACACTTGCAAGGCGAGCAGTTATTGTAGTTAATCTCACTGAATCCTCCATACTGGTCCATTATGTAAAGCATCTATACTTCTTCCACCACTGCTTGAGGTTATAAGTTGGCCTAAATACTTTTTTTTTAAATGGTCAGCAGCCTTATTAATCAGACTACACTGCAATATCACTGGCATAGCCCTTTAAGAACATGCGCCATATGTATTCATGCTGGCATTTCCAGGTTTCTGTGCACAGCTGAACATGTCAGAGTTTAATGGCAGAGTTTATCTGTCTGGCAGTCAGATGCACTGAGACACTGATGAAAACGCTGCAGTTCCCAACCTCCTCTCTGCTCGCTGCTTCAGATCGCTCTATCGTCATCTACACACAACAGTTGCCTTTCTTACTCCCTGGACGCACACATTTGTGTGTCATCGTGATATTTTCATAGTATGAAGGAATGACGCGCTGGGGGATTAACAACAAATGAAGAGTATCTGTTGCAGTGCAAATGTGCTTCTGGTGGACCAGAGCACGTTTGTGCACAAGCAATAAGAAAATGTTTACAGCCATGGCTGACCTGTTTTCCTGCACATTTGAAGTGTCAGTCTTCTCGGATGCTCTGTATCAGGAGGCAGTGTGCAGCCAGTAAAATGTCAAACATCACCAGGAGCTGCAGATAGTTTATTTCTCTTTTCTTAACTCTTTCCCAGGAAATGACTGAGCACACATCCACTGTTTCAGATGGAACTGTGTGTTACTGGTTACTAAGGTTTCTCTTTGTCACAGGGATGCACTCAAAGACAGCTAACTCCAGAAAAAGCAATTAACAATGTGTCTGTTGGTTGAAATCGGTATCACGATAAGAATATTATTTTTCTGATTTCCATGAATATGATATTATTTTATTATATTATTTTCCCCAATCGATCCTCACATTTGAGAAGCTGGAGCGTGCAAATGTTTGGCATTTTTGCATCATAAATCATTTAAAGACCTTGCTTACTTTGCTAAATTATTATTCAACTTATCATTTCAGCGCTAATATCCACATCTGTCACCCTACAGCCAAAGAATGCAAAATCACAATACAATGTAAACAATGTACTGTGTAATAATTCATTATATCAGATAAAACTAACCACTCAGTAATTCATATAGTTGGTTTTAAATCACAGTCTGCTAAAATCAAATTAATTAATCTGAACAACATTTTGTGAAAATGAAAATAATCATGTTATCATAATGTGATCCCACAAGTTAATAAATTCAAATGAATTTTCACCCAGTCCTCGTGTGGTGATGGATTATTCTGGTGCAAATGAAAAAAACGTTACTATCAATACTACAAACAGCAGCTTCAGTGACTTCACTTCTATCATTTGGACCATTTTTCTTAAATCTGTGAAATCCATTTAAGTGGATGGTTAATTTATTTATCAAAAGTAAAATGGAGGATAAATAGTTAAATATGCTCACAGACATCAGGCCCTATTTAGAAATGATGAAAAATAGAGTTTTGTAAACGATGTTGAAAATGTTCGGTTTCTTCTGTCACAAGAAAAAGAACAGCTAATCACATCTTTGAATCTCTTCTCCCTCCGACAGCACATCTGCTGTGATTGTAAGAAGAGTTTCTGCGCCTTGTGCTCGGTGCTTCAAGAGAACCTGCGCTGCTGCACGACCTGCCACCTGCTGCGCGGCACGGCCTTCCAGAGGCCCCGGCTCATGCAGCTCCGAGTGAAAGACCTGCGCCAGTACCTGCTGCTGCGCAACATCCCCACCGACACATGCAGGGAGAAAGAGGACCTGGTGGACCTGGTGCTCTGCCATCAGGGGACGAGGGAAACCCCGAGACCAGTAGTGGAAGAGGATGAGGAGGAAGATGAAGAAGAAGAAGAAGAAGAAGAGGAAGAGGGGGCAGAGGATGAAGAGGACATACATGAGGAGGAGGAGGAGGAGGAGGAAGAGGAGGAAGAGGAGGAAGATGAAGGAGGAGATGAAACAGACAGTCTGCACTCGCTACCCCACTCGCGCGCCGCCTCACCCCCCTCCGCCACGCGCTCCACCTCTGAACAGTCGGTCCTCTCTGCCTCTCACGGAGACGTGCTCAGCCCAAGTGACAGCTCAGGGACCACCAGCCAGGTTTGTGCGCACACAAGAAAACACACAGCTGATGTTTGGCGTGTGTGTGTGTGTGTGGTGTGTGTGTGTGTG